CATCTTGTGTCTGTGCCCCCCATCCCTATGTGCCATCTCCTTCCATTTGCTGCCAGAGTTCCTCTGGAGTCATGCGTTTCAGCGGCAAACTTTGAGCACAATACAGGAATATTTAGAATCCTGGGTTGCCTTCCTGCGCGCAACCCAGGCTAGCGATAACCTGCTCCGAGCTTTTCACCAGCGAATGCGTCTCTCAATCTCTACCCAGGTCAGAGGGAGAAGAAGGTCACAGTTCAGACAGCTTATCCGAGGAGGTAGCTAGTTCAGCATGTTTGCAAGTAGGTGCAACCAAAACTGGGCAGAGGCGGCGGCGAGCAGGTGCTGTGGAGTCCCTGTCCCCCTGCAGCCAAAAGTCCAAAACATGTGTTTTCCCGCGAGTAGCGGGGGCAGGGGGTGGAAATGCTGAGAAGGTTCTAGTCCAATTACAGCCCACGAATTTGCTTCTTCTTCTTCTTCTTCTTTGTTTCTTTATTTTACATCATGCAGTGCTGCTGCTTCCAATAACTGTCGTGCTACTACAAATTTCCCGGATAAACAGTCTGTTTCCCTCAATCCTTCGTCAGGTCGCTTTACGCTTGGAGCCCATGCTCTGCGTCTCCTGCTCGGAATTAATCTTGTATTTTCTCGGCATCTGCTGGCTCTCATGCCAGAGAAACTACGAGATTAATCCTGAGTAAGAGATGCAGAGCAGGGGCTCCAAGCATAAAGTGACCTGACGAAGCATTGAGGGAAACAGACTGTTTATCCGGGAAATTTGTAGTTGCACGGCAGTTGTTGGAAGCAGCAGCAGCAGCAGCACTGCATGACGTAAAATAAAGAAACAAAAAGAAGAAGAAGCAAATTCGTGGGCTGTAATTGGACTTGAATCATTTTTGCACAGTGAACGTTGGTGGGGTGCAACCTTGGTTAAGTCACTGTGGTCCCTTTGCGGCTGGGACTCAAGAGAGCGGCTACCAGCGTTCAGCACAACTTTGCTGGAGTGGTGAAGTTTTGGCTGAGACCTTTCAGGAGCTCACGTGGGGTAGACCAAAAGCTCACGGGTTAGGTGGGAGGCTAGGCTCTTTCTCTTCTATAGCTGGAGAAACTGGTTTTGAATGGAGGACCAATGGGTCGAGGGCCCTCCCCCGCCATCTCAGATGGTCTGGCCCAGGGACAGGCTCGCCGGCTTAGTGAGAACCAGGCCAGGGAGCCGCTGTCCAAAATCCTCCATTGTTTCTGAATGGTAGAGAGGGGGACCATGGCTCAGAGGCGGAGCACCTGCTTTGCAAGTGGAAGGTCCTAGGTTCAACCCTGGGTATCTCCAGTTAGAACATAAGAGCGTAAGAGAAGCCGTGTTGGATTAGGCCAGTGGCCCCTCCAGTCCAACACTCTGTGTCTCACAGAGGCCCAAACCCAGGTGCCATCAGGTGGTCCACCAGCAGGGCCAAAACTCCAGAAGCCCCTCCCACTGTTGCCCCCCCCCCAAGCACCAAGAATACAGAGCATCACTTGCCCCAGACAGAGTGCTCCATCTATGCCTACTGGCTAATAGCCACTCATGGACCTCTGCTCTTAACGAACATAAGAGAAGCCATGTTGGATTAGACCATTGGTCCATCCAGTCCAACACTCTGTGTCTGAACAGAGGCCCAAACCCAGGTGCCATCAGGAGGTCCACCAGCGGGGCCAGAACTCCAGAAGCCCCCCCAAGCACCAAGAAGACAGAGCATCACTTGCCCCAGACAGAGTGTTCCCTCTATACCTTGTGGCTAATAAGCCACTACTGGACCTCTGCTCCATATGTTTATCCAGTCCCTTCTTGAAACTGTCTATATTGTAGCAGCCACCAGGCAGTAGAGGATGTAAAAGACATCTAACCTGAGCTCCTGGACAGCCGCTGCCAGTCTGAGTAGACACTACTGACCTTGATGGACCGAGGGTCTCATCCAGTATAAGACCGCTTCAGATGCGCCCATAAAATTGGGGAGGGGCCATGGCTCAGTGGCAGAGCCTCTGTTTGGCATGCAGAAGGTCCCAGGTTGTCCCCGGCCTCTCCTGTTAAAAGGACCAGGTAGGAGGTGATGGGAAAGACCTCCACTTGAGACCCTGGAGAGCTATAAAGAGGGTCCGTGGCTCAGTGGCAGAGCCTCTGTTTGGCATGCAGAAGGTCCCAGGTTGTCCCCGGCCTCTCCAGTTAGAAAGGACCAGGCAGGAGGTGATGGGGAAGACCGCCGCCTGAGACCCTGGAGGGCTGTAAAGAGGGGCTGTGGCTCAGTGACAGCCTCTGCTTCGCATACGGAAGGTCCCAGGTTCAGCCCCCGGCATCTCCAGTTAAAAAAAGACCAGGCAGGAGGTGATGGGAAAGACCTCTGCCTGAGACCCTGGAGAGCTGTAAAGAGGGGCTGTGGCTCAGTGGTAGAGCCTCTGCTTGGCATGCAGGAGGTCCCAGGTTCAGTCCCCGGCATCTCCAGTTAGAAGGCCCAGGCAGGAGGTGATGGGAAAGACCTCTGCCTGAGACCCTGGAGAGCTGTAAAGAGGGGCTGTGGCTCAGTGGTAGAGCCTCTGCTTGGCATGCAGGAGGTCCCAGGTTCAGTCCCCGGCATCTCCAGTTAGAAGGCCCAGGCAGGAGGTGATGGGAAAGACCTCTGCCTGAGACCCTGGAGAGCTGTAAAGAGGGGCTGTGGCTCAGTGGTAGAGCCTCTGCTTGGCATGCAGGAGGTCCCAGGTTCAGTCCCCGGCATCTCCAGTTAGAAGGCCCAGGCAGGAGGTGATGGGAAAGACCTCTGCCTGAGACCCTGGAGAGCTGTAAAGAGGGGCTGTGGCTCAGTGGTAGAGCCTCTGCTTGGCATGCAGGAGGTCCCAGGTTCAGTCCCCGGCATCTCCAGTTAGAAGGCCCAGGCAGGAGGTGATGGGAAAGACCTCCTGAGACCCTGGAGAGCAGTGCTAGTCAGAATAGATAGTACTGACCTGGATGAACTGGTGCTCTGATGCCGTATAAGGCAGCCTCATGTGATTTTGTTGTTCTATTTCTTTATTCATCCCCTGCTTTTCACCCCACTGGGGAACCCAAAGCAGCTTACAACACTGTTCTATTCCCCTCCATTTTATCCTCCCAGCAATCCTCTAAAGCAGGTTTAGGCTGAGAGTCCGCGTGCAAGGCTGTCCTAGGGCTACCTAGTGATTTCCCCCTGTCAGATTCAAACCTGCATCTCGTAGGTCCCTTCCCAGCACTCTAACCGCTGCCCTGTGCTGTCTCTCTAGGAATTCTGGGTCTAAAATGAGAGGGAGCAAAAAGGGGCAGCGAGTATTTAAGGCTCTGGGTCTCCGCTCACTTTGGAGGCTCCAGGTTGGAGGCAAGCGCTTGGCACGCAAGGAGCCGGTGTGCAACTAGGATCCCTCCAGGGTGGGCAGAAGCCCCTCTTCCCCGCTCTCAGCGGCCCCGGAGCAAAGAGTTTTTTGGGGGGAGGGTCATCCCGCTAGCAGAAGCCACAGCCATTTGATGCTCCAGACAAATCGCGAAACAGCTCAAGGGATGGAGGCAAACCTCCAGTTGTGCTGAAGTCTGCTGTCCAGCATCAGTCTGGGGGAAAGCTAAGAAGCTCTGTACAAAAGGCTTCCCTTTGGCTTTGCACTGTCATGGGGATAACCCAAGCACCGCTTGGGAAGGACTGCCAGCCGTCCAGTTCTTAAGGGGCCCAGGGATTCGACAAGGCGATCAGTCCGTGGTGAGCAGATTTTGTCTGCCAGGGAGGCCCGGCCAAAGTCCCAAGTCTGCATCTCCTTGTTGGTGTCTCTTGCAACACCAAGAACAACGTGGCCGAATCTGGCTCTCTGCTCAAACAACAGGCCTCAGCAGCCCACCAGGGTGTGTCTCCCCCCTCCCGGTACAAATTCCAGAGCGTAGCATGCCGTGAGGCCTAGGACTTAGAGAAGTTGCTTGTGCAAGCTAGCCAAGCTACGTCTTTCCGGGGCAGCTGGAAGAGGAACATCTTAAGCCGCTGTAGCCACTTAGTGGCTTTGTTTTGTTGGATCACCAGAGCATTTTCAGAGTGCCTGCAATAACTGGGTGCTGCACATGAATCAGAGGAGGCGGCTTAACAGGCTGCATGAGTAAACGGAGGGAAGAAGGCAATCTCTTGAGCCGTGACGGAAGCATGACTTTTAAGAGGCATTTAGATGCTCTTGGGAGTGTGATTTCAAGTTATATGTGTGTGTTTCTTTAAATGGTTGTAAGTGTCAGAAGAACAAGGGGGTGAAAGAGGGAGATGAGTGAGTGAGGTGATTGGTGGGTGACTGAGGGTGTGTGTGGGGAGCTAGGAGGTGTTTGTGTGGAGAGAGAGAAGGCAGGATCCGAAGTTTGAGGTCAGAAGTCAGCAGTCAGTAGCTGTCAGTTGTAGTCAATCTACACAGTCTGAGTAGCAGTCTTCTAACTAGGATCATATAGAAGTGCTGTGAAAGGCATTAAGATTCTAAGGGAGGAAGAAAATATATTTGAGGGGGCAATATAGACAAAATCTAATATAGTCAGAGTATTTTGGGAATGTGAGGGGAAAAGCTGACAGATCTGAGTAAAAGGGAAAGATTCTGCTAAGCAACTTAATAAAACATCTTACAACCAATGTGCTTCTTTTGCCAGTGGAGTTGTATCTTGTTTATTGTTAACCCAGAGTCTCATCCTCAGAACTACATAGTCCAACGAAGGAGCCTTAGAGCTCGGGCACAATACTGTGGGAAAGGTGAATTAAAGACTGGAATTAAATTCCTGGTGGCAGCGACAGATACTGTTGAGTGAGAGAAAGAAACAACGAGAAATTTAAAACTGCATCACACCTAACCACACAAAATAAGAGAGACGGTACTGTCACGTGGTGGCAGCGGTGGGATATAAAACATTCTGAGGAAGGGGAAAGACTCAAGTCCTCTGTAAGCTGCTGAAAGGGTAGCTTGTGGTGCACTCCGTGTTGTATGGAAAGCCGCTCAGTTTTGCTTCTCCTCTTTCCCAACCCCCCTGCCCCCTGCAGTGCTTCCCTCGGACCCTCCATGCCAGACCAGCCCTCAGGGCTGACGGAGCAGTTTGAAGATTTACCCGAGACGGAGATCAGCTTTGTAAGTCCTCTTGAGGGTCTTGGGGAGGGAGGTGGGATTATTATTGGCGGGGCCCCTGAAGCCTAGGCTCCAAGGTGGGACACAAAGTTAGCTGTAGACTGGGCCTGGGAACGGCCTGAGTCATTCCAACCCATTGAAACCTCATGGTTGGACTACTGCCATGTGCTGTACGTGGGGCTGCCCTTCAAGAGAACCCGGAAACCACAACTGGTCCAGAATGTGACAGCAGTGGCTCAGTGATTAAGATGCTGAACTCCAGACCAGAAGGCTGGTAGTTCAGCAGTTCGAGACCCGAGTGCCTCGTGACGGAGTGGGCTCCCGTCTCTGGCGCCAGCTCCTGCCAACCTAGCAGTTCGAAAGCAAGAAATTGCAAGTAGATAAATAGGTACCGCTTCGGTGGGAAGATCACAGCGTTCCATGCGCCTTGGCATCTAGTCATGCCGGCCACAAGACCATGGAAACGTCTTCGGGCAGCGCTGGCTCTTCGGCTTAGAAACGGAGATGAGCACCGCACCCCTAGAGTCGTATTCGACTGGCTTTCGAGGAAGGGAAACCTTTAGCCACCAGGAACATCTGTTGCCTGCTTTGAAACAGTGACATTGGCTGCCAGTCTGTTTCTGAGTTCAATTCAAGCTGCTGGTTATGATCGTCCAAGCCTTTCATGACCTGGGAACCACACATTTCAAGGAATGTCCCCTTCCCCATGTCTCTGTGGCCAGGTAGCCTTCTGTTGACTATCTCACCATTTAGGCTGGCCTGTCTGCCATCACCTAGAGCCCAGGGCCTTTTCCATCGTGGTTCTCGCTCTGTGGAAGGGGGGGGCTCCCTGAACAGGTGAGGGGGCCTCTTCCGTGTAGATCTTCGGGAGGTGCTGCAAAGCCTGCCTGTCTGCCAGTGGGGGTTCAGGGGGGGGGGGTCTCAATTTGGCAAGCGTCTTTTAAGAGGGGGAAGCGGGGAGAGATTTGGGGTCGGCTGTTTTATTTTTGATTTTCGCAGAATATGTTAACCTGTTATCGTAAGCCACTCTGAACCACAAGGAAAGGTGGGATATAAATGCTGTAATTAATAAATGAATATAAATAACAGCAATGATGAGAAATAAAGATAGCTGGGAAGAGAAGACAGGAAGCCGGGGGGGGGGGGGGCATCACAGGATGTTCGGGAGGGGCAAGAGATGTTCCGCCAAGGGTACGGTTGAGGACAGCAGCAGTGCTCCCTCTAAGCTGAGTTAGTGTGAGCCAGCTCACAGCTTTTTAGCCTCTGGCTCACACATTTTTGTCTTCGCTCAGGAAGGAGGGCTCCAGAGCAAACTAATTCACGCAGTAGCCAAATTGCTCACTCACACAGTTTTAATGCCAGTAGCTCACAAAGTAGAATCCTTGCTCACAAGACTCCCCAGCTTAGAGGGAGCATCGGACAGCAGTGGTTTTTAACAGCAACAGTTTCTTAACAGTTTAATAATTCTTAAGGGCCATTTGACGCACAGTTCTGCTTCCATCCCTCTTCCCCCCATTGCTAATGTACATTGGTGTCAGACTCCCATCGCATCAACGAAGAACACACTTGTAGAAAAGAGGTTTCTTTATTTGAAGCAATAGGTGCATAACAGGATCACTGTTCAGAATGAGGCATAAGCATGGATCCCAAGAGATTATAGTTAATTCAAAAAGCTGAGGCCCAATTGCGGGTCTTCCCGTGCGCGCCCTTGAGCCTGGTCAGCAATGCTCCTACTTAATCATAACCTACCGCTTCTCATGGATAACGCCATGAGATCACGCAAGCTACTACCCGCCGGCAACCACCTGTGGCCTTGAGAGATACGGACGTTCCTGCAACTAGGCAATTAAGCGTATAAACAGGCATACATGGGAAAGTGAATGCAAACAAGCGCATACCCAAACAATAAGGATACAGACGAATACGCACAGAGCATAGTGAAACATAAGAGCATACACAGAGTACAGGGAAACATATTGGCAGCTTGCTGACAATTGGGGGGGGGAGAATTGTATGATGGCGCCATGCAGTTATTGGGTTTTAGATTTGTATTTTAAATTATTTAATAGATTTTATGTGTTTTATGTGACTTTGATGTGAACCGCCCTGCGCCCACTCACGGGGAGGGTGGTAGACAAACCTAATATAATAAATAAATAGAAGAAGAAGAGATTGGATTTATACCCCGCCCTTCACTTGGAGTCTCAGAGCAGCTTACAAACTCCTTTCCCTTCCCCTCCCCACAACAGACACCCTGTGAGGTAGGTGGGGCTGAGAGAGCTCTGAGAGAACTGCCCTTGAGAGAACAGCTCTGAGAGAACTGTGGCTTGCCCAAGGTCACCCAGCAGCTGCAAGTGGAGGAGTGGGGAATCAGACCCGGCTCTCCCGGATTAGAGTCTACACACTTAACTATGACACCAAACTGGCAAGTTGGCCAGGTGGGATCTCTGTGTGGAGCAAGTTCCAAAGGTGATGGGCCACCACGGAGAAGGCCCCGTCTCTTTTAGCCCTTTGCTTCCTCTGAAGGTTGGAGGGGCACAGAGAATGGTCTCTCTTAAGGGTCTTAATTAAGGGGCTCACCAAGTGCCGGTTCCTCTTTCCCATGCTATGGTGTGGATACTGTCTCTGGCCCGCAAGATTCCTGATTCCTGTACTCTTTTCTCTTTTTCAGTGAAACGCGGGGTTTTTTTTGATGTAAGCAGAAGACTCCTTCCCGGTCTGTGAAGTCTGAGAAACCTCCGGCCCTCCCAGGCAGCTGATATCTAGAACTTTTTTTGACCTGAACCGCCGAATCGCACGGAAGGTCAAAGGCTGGGGGCGCACCCAGCGGTGTAGTGTTAGCGACAACGTACCGTTCTCCGGAGCACGTTCGCTCTCAAAAGGCTGCAGATTTCCTCCGGTTGTCGGCATAGAGGCAATCCCTCTCCCCCCCGGTCCTCTGCGGGGTTTCGCGGGTCACCTCTCAAGAAAGGGACGGGTGCCCTTGCGTGTGGACCAGGCCCCTCCGAGGGCAGAGTCGGTTCCCCAGCCGAGAATCCCCGTCTGTGCCCCGGTTCCTCCAAAAGGGGGGAGGAGAGCCCCACTCGGAACAGGTCAACGTCGTCATCACACTTTTTATTTCAAACTTTCTAAAACCGTATTTAAACTTTCCCCCACCCCCTTAATTGCCATATCAGGTTGTTGGGTTGTTGTTGTTCTTATGTGGTTTTTAGGCCCGGAAATACCCCACCACCACCACCACCCCGCCCAAAGTTAACGCACCAAAAACGTCTCATGTCCGAGAGAGATGTTCCCCCCCCCCCTTTTTCTGATTGCATATCCGGGGTCTCACGAGAGATCAAGGGAGCAAAACATTAGCCCGCGTGCTAAACTTGGTGGCGCAGGAGGCTTCTCCCCCGGCCCAGTAGAGACACATAGTGGTGAGGAAGAGGAGGGCGAGCCTGTTTCTTCTCTGTCCCTTGCCTTGGTGCTCTTTCTCTACTTGGGGGGCAGGGGGAGAGAGGGTAGCACGGTGGGCGAGAGAGGGGTGCCGCGCGGGGCTCTGGTTGTTCAGCTACACCGTATTAAGCGTCTCCACCGAGAAGCGAGGACAGGTCAGATGCGTTGGGTTTTTTTAAGCCTTTAGTATTTTGCTAATGGACCAAACTTATCCCCCTTTCCTTTGGGAGGGGAGATGCTCCTCCCGGTCTCAGTATTAAGCCTCCCTAGGGTCCCCAGTCCCCTTTTTTAGAAAAGAGAAAAATCTGACAGCAGTGTGCTTGGATCCTGATTCTGGAGCCGTTCCGCCTCGGGCTCTATAAAAAAGGCCAATTTCCCTCTTCTTTTTAAGCTGCCATTTTTTCCCCTCCCCCCCCCCCTCAGTTTCCAGGATTTTATTATTTATTTTTTTTAATGTTCCGTGCCAGAGGAGACGGAAGGAAGCCTAAAACTGTCAAGACATGCATGGCTGTAGTTTCGTACCTGGGGAGTCCTGCCCCTGCCCCGCGTCAGCCAGTTGGGATGAGCCTTATGCCGGGTTGGTTTTCTTTTTATTAGCTCGCATTTTCTTAAAGAGCAACATGAACAGATCAAGCAAAATCTTATAGCCCTTACCCCCCAAAAAAAGAATCTATATTTATCTCTATGTGTACCTTTTATACAAAATATACGGCAGGGGATATTTCTTTCTTTCCCCCCTTCCTTCGAAACAAAGAGTTTTGTATTTTTCTGTCAAACCGTTGCAATAAGACATGTAGAGGTTCTAGCAAGACAGGTTCCTCCTTATTAAAACTGGTTGCACAACTGACGCTCTCCCAGTAGGAGCTAACCGTGAAGAGCCTTTTCAGAATCCTGTGCGGTGGCTGTCATTTCCTGCCTCTCACAAGGGTTCGGGAATATTGGGGACCACCTCACAGGCTTCTACAGACCCCCCCTTCCCTTTTCAGAGTCAACCACGGGATGGTCTACGCTGAGCATAATGCTGGCGACGAGGGTTCAGAGATAGCCAGGAAGCAAATTGCCTGCGGTTAACACGGATCTAGGGACAGAGAAGACACTGTGGGTTGGATTCTGTGGGTCGGATTCTGTGGGTCACTCCTCCCCAAGGGTGATGCTGACCCCGAGGGGGAGAGCCCTCCCCGATCTCGAATCTGCGGAAAGGTCCTTGCATCAGGGAAACAAGCCCCCTTCAGTGGAACGGATGTACAGTATCTGGTCCTATATATCAGCTAATGCTGAAATGGCTTCGGCCCATGATGAATGCCGAAGCGCTTCCCCTGTCTTCGACCTGTCAGAAAGATTCGGATATGTCCACCCACCCCCCTCTCGGGAGTGAATTTTATTCTCCTGTCCTTCTAACATCCGTGAAGAACTCCAGTGTAAAAGCCAGCTCCGTGCAATGAAAATTCTTTTTTTTAAGAAATGTTTTTAGGGAATTCTCGCAAGTTTTTAAAAACACACAGCTTCCCTCTCCTTTCCCCTCCCCTCCCGTTTGCAGAGTTATATTTAACTGTCTATATTAGACACTCTCTGGTTTTTCTTTTTTCCTGAAAATGTTTCGGCAGTGCTTCGTTTTACGCTACGAGGAGGAAACAGGAACAATATGTCGGGGTGGGGTTTTTTCCCCTTCTTCTTCCCACAATGCTACTATTTATGAAGTTGTATTTAAGTACCATCCTCCCCCTTCCTGCGAAATTTAGCTGTTTTAAATGGGGCGGGGTGGGAGGGAGATGACGTTTCCTTTAGCGCTTCATCATATAGACTTTGCTTTGGACGGTTTTTGAGAGAACAGCGGATGGGTGGTTTTGACCGACTTTGGTTGTACAACAAAAAGCCAAGCGTTGAATCGCTTTGGACGTCCCGAGTCTCCTCGCAAAGGAACGATGGTGGATTTACGGCTAGGCTTGGCCCCTCTCGGGACTTCTCCGTGTCTCCCTTCCGGCTGCTCAGCGGAGAAGAGGAAGGCCAGGAGGTGCCGGCTCCGATGCCCCCCCCCTCGGGCACCTCACCGCTCAGTCCAGTCCCCCCACGCCAGGATCCATCGCTTGCTTTGCGTCGCGGAGAAGAGATCCTGGGCTCCGAGCTTATCCATCCCAAAAGTGCCGTCTTGTGGATTTTCGTCACTTGAAACCCTCGTGACTCTTTTTATTTTGGTTTTGGGGCATCTTACCGCCTGTTGAAATGGATGTTCGGGAGGGGCAATAAAAACCAGAGGTCTGTTTTATCAGTCGTGTCCCTCCCCTGTGAGGGATGGGACACAACTTGCAGTATGCGACTCAGCTCAAATAAAGTTGTCTTCATTTCTTTTTCCTCGGCGTCGTCAGTGTTTTAACTTGGAGGTGGCTGTAGCTGGTACTTTCATAAGGACATAGGGACATAAGAGAAGCCAATGTTTGATCAGGCCAATGGCCCATCCACTTTAACACTCTGGGTCACACAGTGGCCAAAAATACCAGGTGCCCTCAGGAGGTCCAGCAGTGGGGCCAGATGAGGTCATCTTTGACAGGACCTGCCTCACAGACTGATGAGGTCAGCTTTGACAGGACCTGCCTCACAGACTGATGAGGTCAGCTTTGACAGGACCTGCCTCACAGACATAACATATAAGAACATAAGAGACCTGCCTCACAGACTGATGAGGTCAGCTTTGACAGATGACAGGACCTGCCTCACAGACATAACATATAAGAACATAAGAGACGCCAATGTTGGATCAGGCCAAAGGCCCATCCAGTCCAACACTCTGTGTCACACAGTGGCCAGAAATACCAGTGCCATCAGGAGGTCCAGCAGTGGGGCCAGGACATTAGAAGCCCTCCCACTGTTGACCCCCCCCCCCAAGCACCAAGAAGACAGAGCATCACTTGCCCCAGAGCCCCTATCTATACCTTGTGGCTAATAGCCACTGATGGACCTCTGCTCCATATGCTTATCTAATTCCCTTTTGAAGCCGTCCATGCTTGTAGCACCCACCACTTCCTGTGGCAGTGAATTCCATGTGTTAATCACTCTTTGGGTGAAGAAGTACTTCCTTTTATCCGTTCTAACCCGACCGCTCTGCAGTTTCATGGAGTGCCCACGAGTTCTTGTATTGTGAGAAAGGGAGAAAAGTACCTCTTTCTTTACCTGCTCTTTCCCATGCATAATCTTATAAACCTCGATCATGTCACCCCTCAGTCGTCTTTTCTCCAAGCTAAAGAGCCCTAAGCGCTTTAACCTTTCCTCATAGGGAAAGTGTTCCAACCCTTTTATCATTCGAGTTGCCCTTTTCTGCACTTTTTCCAAAGCTATAATATCCTTTTTAAGGTGTGGTGACCAGAACTGCACACAGTATTCCAAATGAGGTCTCACCATT